TCGTTTTTAGGCATGCCATTGTTACGAATTTCGAAAGTTCGAAAATATGATTCGGATTGCAGCATACTATTCCTACGATTCGTAGCAAAAACCGAATACGAAAGAGTTGCAGAATAGGGGTGTATATATTAATACGCTAACGAAATCCGATTCAAATCTATTCCTCCCTATTGCTCCTATGTTGTCAAGTGCATTGGTGTAACTTAAAATTTCATACTGTGCTTCGAATATCTATATGTGACCTGGTCTACGGAAAGGGGGCTTAGGTGTCAAAAAATCAATTTTCACTTTTTGGTTGATTCGGATGGAAGATGAGATGCTTTTTCACGTGGTGAAAAGCAGAAAATCCTAACTTGCTTAGAAGTGTACTAAAAATGTAGAGAAAGAAGAGTAAAAATACGACAAAATATAATTTATTGGTAATGAACAAAATACATTGAATTATAAGCTGTGGTATAAGTGGTATCAGTGTATGGCATTCATTATTACAACAATCTTTTGACAGAAATTTTGTTACCAGCTCCTCCTCCTTTACATCAACAACATACAGGTCCATCTTAACAAAAGTTTGTTCGGTATCATCTTCTGCCTGAGATACACATACTTCGTCTTCATCATCATCGCTCTCTTCATAGTTTTCATCATCGTTTTCATCATCCTTTTCATGGAAATATTGTCCGTATACGGCACTGAACTCCTCATCAACACTCATGTTTCATTTCATGCGAAATGCGAAGACGATAATCAACAGAAACAGTAAACGTCACTTCTTCAGTGTTACTTTTTTAAATGTTCCACACTAGCAACTTACACGATGAACTATAATAATATTCCGACCAACAACAACACTTACTGGACCAACAACAACACTTACTGGACGTCCGGCGCGGAGAACAATTAACGAGATAATGAGAAACTGACGAAACGAGTTGCTTACTTGTAACAGCTTTTTCACAGAAAACTAGTTTTCGCACGTAAGCTCCCTTTTCGTAGACCAGGTCACATATATTAATACGCTAACGAAATCCCATACAAATATATCCCTCATTTACATACATATATTTATTACTTTATATGGTTTACTTCACGTTTTAAAGTTTCGAATATTTCATCTTAAATATTTACCAGTACAAAATCAACAATTTAACAATTTAAGTATTCACATACCTCAAAATTTGATGTAAGACCTGTATTCAATCTTATAAGTGATTCATCACTAGAAGGAATCAGATTCTTAGACAAAGATATTGCGAATGGGGCAAAAATCTTCATTCCCAATATCGTCATAAGTAGCAGAAAATTTACAAATGACGAAATTGTCGACTTGGCTACACTGTGAATCACTACGCTAATTTGGATTTTTAAATTATCTACCTAATTTTCCCAGTCCCCTAATTTCGCTCTTAATCGTCCCAAAGGCAAAAATGAAGAACAAAGTAACTCCCCACCCTGGGGAAAAGGAGTGGTGAACTCATAATATGTTACTGAATTCAGTTATTTTGTGTTTCGTTTTTGTAAGCTGACTCGCTATTAAGTAGCAAAAATAAAGAACGAAGTCACTTCCCCAAAGTGGGGAAAAGGAGTGGTGAACTTATAATATGTCCTAAATTCAGTTATTCTGTTTCGTTGGTTTAAGCTGAATCGCTATTAAGTAGAAAAAATATAGAGCGAAGTTATTTCCCGCTGTGGGGAAAAGGAGGGGTGAACTCATTATAAGCTGCTAAATTCAGCTTTTCTGTGTTTCGTTGTTTCAAGCTGACTCGCTATTTATTAGCAAAAATATAAAACCAAGCCACTTCCCCACCCTGAGCAAAAAAGTGGTGAAGTCTATCTAAACGATAGTTACCACCGAATTCGAGCTATCCCAAATTAAAATTCATGAAATATTTTCATGTGATGTGACTCACTTAGAAGACTGCATTGGTACGGCAACTTATAAGTGGTTCCAATGAAATTTCTTTTCAATATCTATATATTAATACGCTTACGAAATCCCATACAAATATATTCCTCGCTACTGCTCTTATGTTTCTCAACCGATTTGAATGATTCTCCTTTTGTTCGAAAGGCATTTCAAAGGGGAGGTGCGCATTTTGTTTGTTTTTTCCGGTAGGTGGAGCAGGAGTGGAGTTATTCCGAAAAATTTCAATTATGGTCCGATTTACCTCAATCAAGATTATTATTATCAGGCATGAGCAGAGACTTAGCAGGTGCTAAAATAGCGTAAGAATCGCGTGTACGTATACAAGCGAGAGCGTAATGATGAGAACGCGACAGCATGCAAAATGAATTGGATACACTAACGCATTCTCAGCTCACGCTTGTTTGTGGTAGTGCCCACCTCTGATTATTATTAACATCAAGAGAAATGTACCAGCCAAAAATTGACGCAACAGGTGTATCCAGAGCCGAGTTATTCCAATTTGCGTATAAGCCTATAAATGCCTGCTTTGGTTTCACCATCTGCTATCTATATCTTAATACGCTAACGAAATCCCATACAAATCTATTTCTCCCTACTGCTGCTATGAAGTTCAAAATTATTTAACATAATGTATGTACATATATTACTCCACCAAGCAATATAAGTGACCTTGGCGATCAACAGTTGATGATGGACAAAGAAACATCCCAAGCAAAATGAAAAATTGTGTAAAAAAGTGAGGTGGTCGAATTTCGACAACGGGGCGATACTAGTTATCATTATAGTTCAAAACTGTTTTTGTTTCAGAGTGGAAATGCAAATGCGCGTGAGTTTAAAGCACATTTGAACCGTTCTTTGTTAGATCGGACGGATTTCGTAAAAAAAATTATGTCGTGTCTTCGATTCGATTAAAACTTTTTTTGTGGGTTCTATACATGAAATGAGCTTCGAGGAATTTGATTCTTCTTTTTTTTTCTTCGGAGATATGAACTGTCAAAGTTTTAATTTTTTGTGATTCTGACAAATGCTGTACATCTTCAAATCGTTATATCTCGGGTTCTGCTTACCGCAGAGACATCATCTTAACGTCCTTTTAAAGCTAAGAAACGGGCTTAACATTTCTATATATAGGATGGTCAAGATTGTCCCAAAGCTAACTTAGCTACTAACAGTTAAACTTTTTGAAGTTGACTTGCGTAGTGAAGACCAGTAAATTAGGGATTTGAAATTATACCATCGTAATCCTCGTTTAATTCACTATAAAAAACGTGGTTATAAAAAATTGGTATTTTTCAAGAACTTTTTTTAAAAATGTTTTTCTTTATGACGAGATGGTTTATTTTATGAGAATCAACAATTTTTTGTAATTTTGTTTCCAAAACATATGTTAATATATATTTAGAAAGGTGTTAAACATCGGGTTTTTGCAAAGAGTAAAATTTTAACTTGAAGATGAAACCAAAGACGATATCTACGAGCCAAATTGATAAGTATTATGTCAATTTATTTCTTTAGCTTTCGGTGCTAATATTGCACCCTCATCAGAATTATAAAAAATCTGTGCTAATATATATATGTGTGTTTAACGCAAATTAAGCTGCGGCACCATGGATTGTCCATCGTATTATACACACATATATGTATCCGCAACTTGGTGAAATTGGCGGTATGTTTACCCTGTTTCTTATGGGAGTAGCACGTAATAATTGTAAATCTTCCGGCATAATAAATTTAAAAATTGAAATTATTCCAACGAACAGCGAGCGAATTATTGATGAGTGTGCAATATTAGCACCGAAAGCTAAAGAAATAAATTGACATAATACTTATCAATTTGGCTCGTAGATGTCGTCTTTGGTTTCATCTTCAAGTTGAAAATAATCCGAGCGTTAAACAATTCTTTTAAGTACAATTTTATTACCGATTCCGATAGAATACCTATCCAGATATAATATTTGTATGGCAAGGCTTTTCTTTAAGGCGTCGAACCCCTAGAAATTGACGCGGTAATTTCAGAACTAAAATTAGCAAAATGCAGATTTTATTGTGGATTTACGCAGAATATCGCTTCGTTACCAGTATTTGTTCCACAACTTTTTCAATCCATATATATATTCTCGCGAAATCCACAATAAAGGCCAAATTTTTTGAACCTTGGTTTTAATATAGCCAAGCCCATTTCTAAAATATTCTTTGATTGAAAAAGCTGTGGAACAAATGCTTTTAACGAAGCAATATTCTGCCAAAATCCGCAATAAAATCTGCGTTTAGCAAAACTTTAATCGTACAGTTGCCACGCTCATTTCTAGGGGTTTGTCGCCTTAAAGAAAAATTTTGTCGTACAAATTTTCTCGGAATCTGCAACAAAATTTAAGTTCTTGCAAGATCTCGATGTTTTTTGACGCCTTTATAAATATATCTCAACATAAGTTTTCGAAAACAAAATACGAAAAATTGTTGATTCTCACAAAATAAACCATCTCATCATAAAGAAAAATATTTAAAAAATAGTACTTGAAAGCACTATGCAAATCAACTTCAAAAAGTTCAACTGTTAATAGCTAAGTTAACGTTGGGACAATCTTGAGCATCTTATATATAAAAATGTTAAACCCGTTTCTTTATCTTTAAAACGACGTTAAGATGAAGTCTCTACGATGAAAAAATGCAAATTTTTACAGATCATATCTCCATAGAAAAAAGCGAAAAAAAAATTTCTCGAACAGGTGTTAGCTTATTTCATGCATAGTACCCATAAAAAAATTTGGAGCCAATCGAAAGTGTGACACCAAATTTGGTGTCCGATATGAAAAAGAATGTTTCATATGTACATTTTCACAGTTACCAAGTGGTGTGGTTTGGAAAGTTGTTATTGAGCTGAACTAATTCTCGACAAAAATTTCTAGAAAACACCACTTTGTGACTGAACAAATCTGTACATATGTACAAACTTAAGCAAGATTTTAAAAATAATTTGCTTGCAAACGTTGCAAATAGTTTTACCTCTTAGTTAGTCTTTTCCAGTACTATGCACATACAAACTTACCATAGTTATACAAATTAATTTTCTTTTCAGAGCTAGTGAACGTTCACCTTTTGAAGGATCGTGTTGCGGTGGCGGATATGCCAACGTTGATTCAGTACCAAGTTCACCAGATGATTCGGAAAGCCTTGAGCCACCACCTCCACCTAGGTTTGTTTCAATGATATCAGTATTTGTTTTCATTTCTTTTGATTAAAATGTATTTGCATCAGGTATCGTATAGTTATGTTAGGTGATTCTGGTGTTGGGAAGACTGCCTTAGTAAACCAATTTATGACTTCGGAATATATGCACACTTACGACGCCAGTCTAGGTAAGTTCAAAAATTATTATTTTTCAAAGCGCTGGATTGGAAGCAATCTATAAGAACATAAATAGAGTCCCGCTGAGAAGAATTTTAACTTTAACTGTTTGGTGCATCTACTACTGTGTATATGTCCCCAAGTGGTTTTTGTAAATTCAGTGTTACAGTCAGTTCAATTCACAAATATATGATGTGGGTTTTATCGAAGGCTGAGGTAGCTCAGCCGCTCCAGGGTTGGGCGGATGTCCCACTAACCCCCACTGAATAAAATAAAACTCAGTAGTTTAGTGTAGTGAATACAACCACACACACGCGGCTGTTCAGCCAGAATACCGGCACCTTGACGTTCAAGGAGAGAGAAAGGGAGATACTGAAAGGAGAGAGACCAATTGGTGGGTTTTATCGAAGGCTGAAGTAGCTCAGCCGCTCCAGGGTTGGGCGGGTGTCCCACTAACCCCCACTGACGTCCAAGGAGAGCGAGAGGGAGATACTGAAAGGAAAGAAACCAATTGGTGTGTTTTATCGAAGGCTGAAGTAGCTCAGCCACTTCAGGGTTGGGCGGATGTCCCACTAACCCCCACTGAATAAAATAAAACATAGTAGTTTAATGTAGTGAACACAGCCACAAACGCGAGCCTGTTCGGCCAGAATACCGACACCTTGACGTCCAAAAAGAGATAGAGGGAGATACTGAAAGGGAGAGAGACCAACTGGTCGGCGTCGTGGTTCAGAGTGCGGAGATTGCCCGGCGGTTAGTGCCGGTAACGATGACAGTGAGAGTGGGGACGGTTCGGTGATTAATGATAATGATAATGAGAGCAAAGACGGTTCGGTTAGTAATGTCGATGATGTTAGTGACCCTTACAGACAGCAAGTAGCGGTCCTCGGGGCAATGACGTCAGCGGCCCCCGATGATGACGAAGGTGATAGCTCGGCCTTAGTAGGTCGTGGCGGTGGCAGCGGCCTTGGATGACGAAGACAAGGCTAGCGGCCCTGGAAGGTAGCGGCTCTTGGCATTGACTTCGGCCTAGGCAGTAGTGATATCGGAGGCCCGGTGAACACGAAGATAGTACTCGGCCCTGGTAAGAATGCCGGTGACAGCGGCCCTGGATGCTGATGGCACGGTTAGCGGTCCTAGTTGGTAGCGGTTCTAGGCCGTGACTTTAGCTCAGGGGCGGCAGATAGTGCTGACGGTCCTAACGGTCACCTGCAAAAGCTACGGAAGCTGGTCAGTATGGCTCCAGGCGGGGTGTTTACCCGCCTCGGCACAGTGCCTGCTCGCCACGTGGTATTCTAAGTGGGCAGGAGAGTTTTCATTTTTTTTTGTCCGGTAAGTGGAAGCTGAGGTTTAGCGCGAGTTCGTCAGAGTACCATTGCAGCGCCTTTCAAGCAGAGCTAAACGCCATAACGGAGGCGGCATGGTGGCTTATAATTTCCGACACTCTAGGACGACCTATCGCCGTAGACCCTGGGTTCAAGTCTGTGGCTCTTTCCCAATCGTTCCTCTCTGTGACTATTTTGGAGAATTTGTTGTTTATACAGAGTAGAGGAGTGGTATAATCTAACTGTCGCAGATTATGCGGTAGAGTTTCAAGTACTTTTGCTTGTCCACCTGGACCACATGTTTACCAGTCCGCATGCGTTTTGAAATAACTCACTCAGGACCTGCAAATGTTTGTCTATGACTTGACAACCGGTGCCGTTAAGTGCAGTCTCCACAGATCTTCCCTTTGAATATGCATTCTGATTCGAGGAGAGGTTATCAGGTTTAGTGTTGTGTCGAATATTTTCGTCGATGAGCCTCTCTAGAGTTTTAAGAAAGAATGATGTCGGGCTTATAGCAGCCCGGGAAGTAATTGATCATAAGGACCTCCAGCATTTCGTTACATGATTTCAAAATTATTTAATTTTGCCGTTTATCTCCTTTCAAATTACTTATAAGATTTTGATTTTATGCCTTTACTTTTCAAAACTTTTGCACTTCAGCCTTCTTTTTATAAAATTGCAGTCTTTGATTTTAATCTCTAGATTAAAAACTTTGGTTTAGCAATTTTTTCTCCAATAACTAGGGTTAAAACGCATGACGCACATAGGGGTATTTAATTTATTTAGGCCAGTGATTCCCAAAGTGGTTCAAGTGGACTCCCAGGGGTCCACGGGAGACTCGAAAGGGGTCTACGTCGGCGTGAAAAAAATATGGGTGTCCACGAGTTGCAAGTGGGGTTCCACGAAAATTCATCTGGTTTCGATAGTGCTCCATACCCTTCTGCTCAGGGTTGGCATTGAGTCCAACCCAGGGCCAGAAACTTACACCTGCTGCGTATGCCAGAGACGACTGCATACAAACTCCACCTCGGTCAGGTGCAATGCTTGTGACGGGTGGAGTCACCTCCGTAACAACTCGGGCCTACGTACGCACCGGCAATAGACCACATCGTTCGTGGCTACATGCTGTGCCAACCGTCCCGCCTCCACGGCAAACCACCACCCTCCCGTGCAGCACACAACCAACGTACCCACACCCCAACACAACACAACAACAGATATTCACACAAACACAATAGCACCCACTCGCCGCCGCCGGCAACTCCTAATCCCTCCAACAATCTTCTCGGTTTGTCAGTCCTCAGTTGTCCAGTGACATCAGTCAAGTGCAACTCCTGCCTTGGCTGGTGCCACTTTAGGGCATGCTCAGGACTTCGCAACACGCGTGATTGGACGAGTGACTATGTGGGCCCCTGTTGTGCTGCCCAGTCACATACCTCCCCCGCGACGCCGCCAACCACCACCACAAGGCATAACGTACAGCAGGGAGCCGGCAGGCTACACAACTCCTTAACACCACATTAACAATCGGTCTCCCAAGGTACACAAAGGTGCTACAATTTAACTGTAACGGACTTCAGAGCAAGATCGAGGAGATAACTGTCTTTATGGGAAGGCATGGAATATTAATAGCTGCGGTCCAAGAGACGAAGTTGTACGGCAATTCAACCTTGTTGAATTGCGCCGGATATAACGTGCACCGTCGAGATCGCGAGCGAGACAATGGTGGAGGTTTAGCATTCATCACGCACCACACCGTGCAGTATCGTCTTATTGAAGCAGACATCGACCGCAGGGATACCATCCTAGAACGTCAGGGTATTGCTATCCGGTCAGGCGATGTTGAGCTCGAAATATTTAACGTATACATACCACCTGTCACCAGCTTCCTGGCAGGATATCACCCTGAAATAGGTGCGCTACTCAGAGGTGAAAACCGTATGGTAGTTGGCGACTTAAACGCGCACCACGATCTTTGGCACTCGAGCCTGTCAAATGATCGTAGGGGAATACATCTGTCTGAGCAGATAGACCATCTTCCCATAGTCATCTCGGTTTATAAACCTGCCGACTTTACTTCCGCGGATCACCTATGTCAACTTTTCCAAAGCTGACTGGAAAGGCTTCGCGGATGTTACTGAAAGCGCCTTCACTGCACTACCCATACCAACCGACGTCCACATAGGTGAACGTAAATTCCGCAGGGTTGTCACTGCTGCTGCAGCTCGCTTCATCGCAGCAGGATGTATTAAAGATCCACGTCCGAACTTTCCTGCTGAAGCGGCTGTTCTAGCCGATGAGCGTGACAGCCTTCGTCAGGCCGATCCCGGAAATACCCGTACCAGGGATCTCAATTCGGAGATTCGGCGTATTTGCAATCCCCAAAGCCTTAGACTACGTGGTAGAAAAAAGGTGGAGGGGAAGGAGTGTTCGTGTCCATATGTACAGCCAAGCTGCACCTAAGGCATTGGCCAGCCCTCTATATAAGTACTTTCAAACTACTTCGGCAATGCAAGCCTCAACTAAATTATGTTGGTAAAGATAACGAGCTGGCTTTACTCTGGGTGTCGGGCAACTTAAGAGTGCCTGGATATGGGACATCGAACCCTTTGTCCACAGTTGGTTTAGACCAGGCATTCCTCGATCCGCACCAGTTATAGCACTACCCACTTCAACCATCGAAGCCACCATCAGAAATTGGGTGGATACTTCCCTCAACAATGACTGCGAGCCATCGGTGGGCAAAACACATGTCTAGTTTTTTCCTCTCACTGAAAACACGGGACTGCTGACTGGTCACTTCAGGTGGCACAAACACCTGACTGGGATAGGCGTAAATGACCACTCCATTTTCCCATTCTGCTTTGAAGAGAATGAGACGGTTGAACACTTCTTGAGCTTCTTGCTTGCTTGTTTGTTTATCATCGATTTATCTAGATTCGGTCTTTTCTTTTCTTGTTTGTTTTCGTTTCCATACATATTTTGTCATTATTAAGTATTTCCCTTGCTTTCGAGTCACCAACTGGGTCCTGCTATAGAGTAGTGACTCGCAAATATTTATTTGATAAGATGCATCGACAAAATTCTATTAATTTTGAGAACAAACTAAAGTGATCTTTTATCATCTGACACCTTCTAAGATGAACAAATAAGAGATAAAAAGGAAAAATTTCCACAACTAAAAGTACAGTTCATACAAAGGTGGATAAAAACCCATGAAAGACAAGTTTTTTTTGAAANAAGAGATAAAAAGGAAAAATTTCCACAACTAAAAGTACCGTTCATACAAAGGTGGATAAAAACCCATGAAAGACAAGTTTTTTTTGAAAAGTAATGTAACTTGGCTACCAGGCTAATTTCAGTTCCAAAAGTTATGCAACAGCCGCGATCTGGTCGGCCACGAAAAGGGTTTCTAGACTCCTCAGAGAAAAGTAAATGCAGAAAAACCGAACACATTCGAAGAATGGTAGATAAAGAGCTATTGGTGCACACAGCTCTCACTACATTGCACACTTCTGGCCAAAGAAATGTTTCCAAAGTCATAAAAGACCTAACAGAGAGTCCAAAGGGAGCAGCAAAGTACAAAACAGACTATAGTAGGTCTCTGCAAGATAAAGAATCACATCTAACACCGCTACAAGCGCTATCAATGTTTGTCGAAGCTGATCCGTAAAGGCGCCAAT